CTCTTTTCAGAGCCAGACGGCATCTAATTACCCTTATTTAGTCGGCAACGAACCCGACCACTACACGCCTTTGCTTTCGGCGCAAGAATATGACGCAGTCTGGGAGGTTTGCAGTTTCCTCTTCTTTTCTTGTAGCAAACGTTTAATCTCCGATGAAGCCCTGGTCCGAAAACATATCCCAAGCGCTGGGATTCAAAACACCTATGTTTCAAATTGCTGCCACCGCGGAAGATCCGATCTGGCCTTATGGTGCTCCTGGAGCAAGCTCTGCGCTCGATTGCGTGAGTGCGTTGGCGGCTGGAGCAGACAGTGACGGAACCGTCAAGCTCTGTAGCGAGGTGGGGAATACGACCACGCATAAGAACGCGAACTCAACCTCGCCTTAGCATACGTATCAGTACAGTGTTTGCGATGACATCAGGCAGGTCCTCTTTCGCGCTCCGGCTCTCTTCTAATTTTTTGAAAGAGCTCCCATCGCGACTCTACCCAATCTGGCAAGTTGTTTTTCTCTCCATCGCTTCTCGGTCTAGACACATGGTTTCAGGTCAATCACACCCGTCTAGCAGTGTAAGTTCTTCTCAAGTCCTGTGCCACCACACTTACTGGGCGTGCTCCTAGCTACCTTGACTTGTGGCAGCCTCGTATCCAGTCCGTACGTGCGAGACTCGGCCCTGACACCTTTGTTATCGGTACGATACGATCCTGCTCTATCTTTCTTGTAAAATAATTCAAATAGGGGAGTACAATTCCGTCTCATGCTCGGGGAAAGCAGGCGTTTCGGACACTTTCGGCCAAGCACTCTGGCTTCTCGACACCACATTTTATGCTGGTATGTGCCCCTTGGTTCTTATGATGAGCTCTCATATTGATCGCCCCAGCTTCTCTGAATGTTTCACGGTATGGTCTCTTTTTTGCACGTGTGTTCCGCGCTCCTCAGTCATGTCTTCAGCCTTTTCATCCACCAAGGCGGGCCCTTAGCTTTGCAGTCTTCGACACAGCTGAACCATGGAGGCTTATCGTTCTACGATTTATGGTTGGTGATCTTGCTCTGCCATTATTTCATAAAACAAAATATTTCAGGTACCCTGTGGACGCCTCCAACGGCGAAAAACAAGTCTTCCCGTCGTACTCGGCGTATTTATTCGTTGCGGAAACGCTTGGGCAATCCAAAACTCTGCGAATTGCCAACCTTTTCCCAGGTCGTCAGTCCAACGGCTCGACAATCACCACCGCAGGGGGCGACTTTAGCGCCGGCCAGAGCGTGGTATACGGATTCTGGGAAGAGTCTGCACAGGAGTATCCGGCGAAAATTGCGTTGCTCAATCTGCAAATATTCAATCAGACTGATGACGGACCACGGCCTACGACGACTTTTGATATCTCGGCGTTCTTACCCCCGACGCAAACGTCGGTGACCGTGAAGCGGCTTGAAGCTCCCGGTGCCGATGTGACATTTGGGAATCTTACGACATGGGCCGGACAGACGTTTGCGTTGGACTCGAATGGTTTGGCGAAAGGAGAATATACAGAGGAAATTGTGGCTGGGGGGAAAATCGTGGTGGAAGCTTCCAGTGCGGCTTTGGTGTCGTTGTAAAATTATCTCCTCCGCTGTCGTCCCTTGTCGTCCAGTCTTACCATTAGCCTCCGGTACAAAAATCGCCGTGATGCGATTGGGTACGCCTCGGCAGGTGATTAGTGTGCTTCGGCATGTGATTAAGTTCCGTTCCTTTTCGGGAAAAGAGCGCTGGAAGCGGAACAGTAATAACCAACCACCATGTCGACCACGAACACAAAACAATTCACCGCTGAAGAGGTGTCCAAGCACAAGAAAGAGGGCGACCTAGTACGCGCTCTCACCATGTCTTCACTCGCCCGACTCATCGCCAAAATGGTAGTGGATTATAATTGACAGCAAAGTCTTTGACCTCTCCAAATTCGCTGCTATGCACCCTGGCGGCCTGAGCGTTCTCATTGACGACGAAGTCGGTACGTAGCGCCAAGCAACAACAGTTGTGCATCGACTCGCGCCCTTTCATAGCCGGTCAGGACGCGACGGAAGTGTTCTTTGGTCTCCATCGGCACGAAGTCCTCCTCAAGCCCCAGTACGCGCGTCTCCAGATTGGTGTCATTGCTGGCGAGACGCCGCAAATTTCTCCTCCCGCAATCGGAGCGTTGAGCGCCGTGCCGTATGCGGAACCTACGTGGCTTGCTCCCGGGTTCCACAGCCCTTACTACACCGAGGTCCGCGTGCTGCTCCCAGTTCACAGTGCATGATTTCAACCATTTCGTGCAGGGTCACCGCCGCTTCCAGGCCGCCTTTCGTAAGTTCATGGAGGAGGAAGTCGCGCCTGAAGCTGCTCTGCGCGAAGAGGACGGCAAGCGCGTCTCGCAGGCGGTTTTCGACGCGATGGCTCGTGTATGTTCCCGCCCTGGTCTTCTTCGGCAATCTGGCTAATTCAGTGTACAGACGAACATTCTAGCCATGCGTATGGGCCCTGGTCCTCATCTGAAAGGCCGTGTTCTTATGGGCGGCCTTGTGAAACCCGAAGAGGTTTATCAATTTCCTTCGCTTTCCAACCAATGTTGTGCTAACGATTCACCAGTTCGATTACTTCCACGAACTTATAATGGCTCAAGAGGGCGCCCGATTCAACGCGCGGTAGGCATTGATTGTACTCTTTATGCTCGATTATAATTTTCTGCGGTAGCGGGTACCTCGATGGTCTTGGTATGTCTGTCCTATAGTCTTCTCATCTGTCCTGCGGCTCATAGTTGCTGTGTAGGTGGAGGCACATACATTGGTCTTCCTCCCGTCATGAATTTCGGTCAACCCGCAATCCGGGAAAAAATCATGGAAGAGTTCTTTTCAGGCAAGTCCACCAACGCAAACGTCGAGAAAGTTGTTCGGTATTAAAGCGGTGTCTACAGGGAAGAAGCTCCTTTGTCTGGCGATCACGGAAGCCTTTGCAGGTTCGGATGTAGGTGAGTACCTGACCGAATTGAGGGTCGAACGGGTGCTCACTCTGATTTTTAGCCGGCTTGAAGACTTTTGCAAAGAAGACAGACAAAGGCTGGCTCGTCACGGGAACCAAAGTGAAGCTCTTGCTCTTTCAATCACTGTTTCGCTTACATGTATCCAGAAATGGATCACCAATGGAACCATAGCTGACTATTTCACGGTTGGCTGCCGCACGGAGAAAGGCCTGGTCGTTCTTGTCATTGAGCGGGGACCCGGCGTTGAGACGAAACCGATCAAGACGAGCTATAGCCCTACAGCAGGTAAGTCTGCGTGCCTCGTCTGTACAGCAGAAGATTTAACTCTATCACAAGGAACGGCATATATCACGTTTGATAATGTGCTTGTGCCTTTTGAGAATACCCTTGGTAAAGACGGGGACGGGCTGCGTGTGATCTTAAGGTGCACATACTTTTTCAGGGCCGAAAATTGCCTCTGATGGTTTTGGACTTGATAGTAACTTCAACCACGAGAGGCAAGCTGCCGACACTTCGCACATGACTACCTTACTAATTCCGCCTAGGTGGGGAATGGCCTGCAATAGCGTTGCTTCTCAGCGGACGATCGTCGAGGAGTGCATGAAGTGAGCCAACCCCATGGCAGCTACCAATGTATTCAAGTATTTATTGACATCTCTTTCCAGGTGGGCGTCGCAGAGAAAGGTATTCGGCAAGCCTCTGACCTCGCAGCCCGTCATCCGTGCCAAACTCGCAGGTGAATGTCTTCTAGTTGGGAATGCATTCTCGTATTGACTCGAGTGTCCAGCGATGATCTCTCGCGTTGAGAGTGCGCAAGCTTGGCTTGAGAATGTGACCTATCAGATGTGCCACATGTCATACCAGCAACAGTCTACTCATTTGGCCGGCCAAATTGCATTCGTCAAGATGTATGCAACGAAGACGGCGCAAGAGACTGCTGCCGATGCTGTCCAGGTTTGCGTTTTGTTTTACTTGTCTTTGTCGAGACTATCCTCATTGGTCTCTTTCAAAGGTATTTGGTGGCCGCGGTATTACGCGCGGAGGCATGGGCAAGCACATCGAGCACTACCACCGAACAGTACCTTTCGACAGTGTTCTCGGCGGCGGTGCGTCCGCTTCATTTTATTTCCACAAACTTCCGTTCTCATTTTTTGCTCAGCGGAGGATGTGCTTGGAGACTTGGGTGTGCGGCAGGCGATGCGCAAGATGCCGAAAAATGCTCGTCTGTAAACTTGAGTGGAGAAGTCGTAATAAGCTAGGTCGTCCGTAATGAATAAATTGAAAGGTCTGAAGTAGATATGTAGAAGCTATTTATTGGCAAGTACAAATTTTGTACGTTCTTTCCACAAGTCTCTTGTGGTGCGGTCCGAATCCAAGCACGCCATCTCTTTTTATCGCACCAGCATTCCAACTCGAGTATTTTTCCAGCTCCTCTGACTACTAACAGCGTCATAATGTATGCACGAGCAATAGCAATACATCTTGCTCCCCTTCAGTTTACGAGGGCACTCTTTGCTTCTTCCGGCTCGGGTGCGCATGCGTTTACCTAGTGTTTTCTCGTCAGCAGGTCTTCGCATCTGGGTTCTGCAAGTTTAAATTTGCAAGAACTTCCCTATGCTTTCAGTCTCGCGTTCTTAACTTATTCAATTTCCTGAAGTGATGTTTCAATCCTCCTTGCTTGCCGTTTCTTTGCCACTCAGCAATTCTTGCCATCGTCAGGCTGGCGGAGGACCTCCTCGACTTTTTCCATGGATCATCTGGGTGGCCTTGTATGAGACTCGAGTACAGCCGGCTACATTTTCTTCAGAGAACCATGTAGAAACAATCGGGCTCGCCGCTTCACAAGACTCGTGAGGTAACACACTCAGGAATTCTGAAAGCAGAACCTGAAAGCCACACGTCCTCCCATGTGAACTTGCCTGGTTCGAACAGGCGTTATATACCGAATTTGTAACTTCATCGTTTTGTGGTGAATAAAAAGGTTCCAACAAAGTGCGCAAAAAGAATCCGACTTGCCTGGTTCGAACAGGCGACACCCAGATGACAGTTCTAGCCAATTACAGTCTGATGCTCTTCCAACTGAGCTAAAGTCGGCATATATGTGGGGCAAGACTGAATGATAATAGTGGTATGGAGACGATTACCTGCCCAAGTTAGTCTACTTTACTTACTATTACGACCAAAGGTTCAACGTTCAACGTTCAGTGACGGTGACACCCAGATTTTTTTTGATGTGTTTAAAAATCGACTTCAAAAAAAAATCTTTCGGTCATCTCGGTGAGTGGAAATTCTAAAAATAGTGAACCTTTGGTCGTAATAGTGCAGTATGTGCTACAACTACTTCAAGGACTTAGTCGAGAGACGACCTACTCCGTACATAAAGCGGTGACGTGGTCATGGTAAGAGCACCGCAACAACGGCCGTGTCTCGAGGTTAGATCGTTGCCGCTCTGTAGGTACTTTTTAGGGACAAAGAGCTGGACCGGCCGTGTAATCCTACCTACCTACCTGGTATCAGTTGGAGGGAATAATGGGCAGGACTGTCGCGCGTGTCTTTCAACAGGAGCGGTATTCAAGCAGAGCCGCATTGGAATGACGGCGACCTGGAGTACATTGAGGTACATGATATTTTAATAATAAAATAAGTAGGAGTACACTAGAGCATTAGACCGCACTAAATTACATATCCCACTCATCCCACATTGCAGGCACGGGCATCGTCGCCGTCCTTGGGGCTACTATCTCTGACGTCTCCTGCAGCTGAATGACCTTCTCGCTCACCCCCGCTTCATCATCATGTTCTCCGCGCATGGCGACCAAAATTCCGTCATCCCCGACGTGGAGGAGGCGAACGTCCCGACCTTCAATCACTTGCACAAGTAAACCAGTGAGGACGTTCCGAATCTCTATAAAGTTGGACGAGAAGAGCAGGACGTGCGCCCCGCGCGCCGCAAAGGACGTCGCCTTGCACTCCCACCGGATGTAGCCACTGCTCCGGCTTGGGACGCCGTGCCGCGAGACGTAGCAGCCCATGGCTGGCAGTAATGAGTGAACAATGTTGCTCGAAACTCAAGGGACGACTCACAATCGTACACCACCAAAAGCTCGCTCGAACTACACCGCAGGAGGCCCAGTGGTTTCATGCCTTCGAGACGCTTCTTGAGTGCAGCCATCGGCGCTGCAGTGGCCGACTTTGCGGACGTGGATGTCACGTCCGCAAAGTCGGGAACAAACGTTATCGCCGATCTCGCAAGACTTGCATTAAGGTTAAAAACGACACAAAGCCAAAGCAAAGAAGAGCCCACTTGGTGGGGTCCAGGATAACGATCCGGTCCTTTGTAGAGATCGCGATGGTTTTCACGAGCGCCGTGATGTCGTGTGCGTCCGTCGTGATAAACCCAGGCTACAATCGCGTCTGATCAGAACATCTTCAAAGAAGAAAGCAAGGCGGAACACACATCTCCGTATTGCCTGAAGAATCGAGTCGAACCACCGCCATTGCTGCGCTTAGGGCTCAAGACAGACGAGTTGGCGTCCGCAGCTTCCAGTACATGTAAATCCAACGAGGTTTGAAAGTGCCGTTTCGCTGCATACACGACTGTGTTTCCACAGTTATCAGCCCACCATTCATAGAGCAAGGAAGGAGGTCGCACTCAACACTCGTCTCCCGATCTGTATTACTTTCGAGAACACGACATTATTGCTAGAATGGTGTTTCTCCATTGACGCCACGAAGCTCTTGGGGTCCGCCTGGTCTAGACCTACACGGCCCAGGAGGTCGAGCGAATACGAAACAAGCGAAGAATCATGTTGTACGATGAATCGGTGAAACGGTTTATTTGCAACCGTCTCGATAGCAGTGATGGACGTCGGGTTGGACGCGGGCAACGCTTTGTAGAACTCTATTTATGGGCATTGAAGAGAATGTCACAAAAGCAAAGAAAGTGCTGAATCTCACGTTCTTCCTCCCAGTGCCCGGCATATATGCCAGAGAAGCACCCAACAGCAAGAAACTTCCGACCACCGGTAGCTGTTCACGTCTGAGTACAAAAAGATGGCCGAAGTAAATCTCAACGGACAAAATGGCGCGGCAGCGGATATCCTTCCGGTTGGCTTGGATGCTTTGACCTTTGGCCCGATAATCCGGAAGAACCCATCAGTCACCGTATGTGGTTCGAAGTACTTCGCCAAGGTCAAAAATGAAGGATTGCAAAAGAGATAAACAAACCATATTAGCTTCTTGCCGTGCTATATGGAGACCAAGAGCCTCTCGAAAAACCGCGTGCCATTTCTTGCGTTGAGCTTCAGTCTCTACACAAAGCGTGTAGTGCCGTGAGTGGCTAGCCGCGTGGTAGACATTGAAGGGATACACGGAGCGGAACTTGAGGCCGTCTCTACGGTTTTCTGCCGGATCAGTGAAGGATCCCAGCCGCAGGAACGAGAGGGGGATGGGCTGTAGAATTCATGAGAATGTTACAGCAAGTATCAGAAAAAAGCATACACGCGACACAAGGTATCGCTTGACGGCACCATTTGGCCGACTTTCCTCACGCGTTAAAATGACTGATACATTCTGAGCGAAAGCCATAATTATGTAGGCAAAGCACCCACAGAAATTGTCGAGCAGCACGGCCGTCAGATCTACCCATGCAGAAAGTCCAGTGTCGGTGCGATTGTATCGGGCGACCGGAGCCAGTCGAACCAAATTGCGAGTGTCGACATATAGGTCCATGTCCTTGAAACGAATCAGCACGGGATACGGCTCAGAGAGAAAGCACTCGCGATCAATTCGCCTTTCTGGAAGACAAGACTCTGAACGAGTGCCCAAAACTTGACCTTGTTCTCTGCGGCTTCGATTCCGGGCTGTGTACTCTGAGAAGACGTCAGACTATCGAACATCCCTACTGAAAATGCCCCCACCTTGACGCAGCTCGTTAAGATATCAAGAATAATGGGCAACGTTTCTTTGTCGACATGGCCATCATCCGTTAGTTTCAAGATCTGTTCCAAGAGCAGGTTCAATCTAGGTAGACGAGTGACGGGACGCGAGAGAAACGTCGTCAAGTCGCGTTTCCGGATCCGTGGATCAGTCGACACCGACTGGACAAAAGCCACGTAGTCTTGGTTCTGGCTCAGTTCCTTGCGGTGGCGCGATTCGGCGAGAGGATAGTTTTTGATATAAACCTCATAGCTGGACCGGAAGTCTTCCATCAATGCAGCTGTAGGAGTTTAATACAATGCCAAAATCGAAAGAAAGCAATATTGACTTTCTAATATGATATCCGAGATGGAGCTCACGAGAGGATGTTGTTCTCGCTGGCGGGAAAATAGAGCACCCAGCATGCGCTGGTGGTGAGCGACGACCTGGTCGAGGTTTCCAAAGACCTCGGCAATGAATTTGTGCAGAAAGGTTTCCCGGATGATCGGCGGGGAGGCTGAAAGTAGTCTCTCAATGTACACTTCTCGCACTGCTTCTAAATCAAACACATATTCCCGCTCGGCTGGAATGTTGTTAGGCGAAATAATTTGAGGCAAACGAAGATCACCTTTGAAGACTTCGAAGATTACTGATTGGCGCTGCACTTCCCGTTTGCCAAGAACATCTCGGGTTTCTGGGGGAACCAGTTTGTACCATTCCTCGTCGCGATCTGAGAGTTCTCCAGTCTGGAATAACCGCAGGCCATCTGAGTGCAGCCTGTAGCCCTGATAAGCTGGACGATTCGCACGAGAAATGAGTGACGCACGATAGATTCGATATGTCCGCCGATAATTCGTCATCCGACTCGTTAGAACCTCCGTGCGACTGGTGCGATTAAGTAAAATGTCTAAAAACAGTCGGAGAACGTTACATCTGCGGAACCCGACGCGTAAAATTCGGTATCGTCGTTTGGATAGTATGCACCGGAAGCATCGGTGGTGAACGAAGCCATAGACGGATCACGCTGGAGGCGAAGAGCCGCGGGCCCTAGGTCACTCCTGCTATACCTGTGACCCATATGGCTTTGCGAGGTCGTGGAGGCAGAGCGATAGATCTGAGGCTCTGGAAAAGGCATGTAGCCCGTTACAGACGCGCTAGTCGAGCGGCTTAATGGATTGTCGGGCGCTTGGAACAGAGACTGCGCGCGCGGTCGTGGGGTGCCCGATGACTGCGGTTCCGAGTCATCCCATGCATTATCGTATGGCGGCGGCGTAACCTCAAAGTCATAGGCGGGAGAGGAGAGATGCGGGCTCTGCGGTGGGCGCGCACCAGGTGGAAGGGCAGGGAACGCAGGGATATCAACATGGGGTCGTCTTGGGTTCATCGAGTTGAGGAAGAGTCGAGTTGATTCCTTTTTCGGAACTCAAGCTATGCGTCATGCACGGCTATTATTCTGTTCCGCGCTCTTCGGACCTGATCGCCAAGAAATTCCAAGAAAATTTGATCCAAAAAGCTGGAGAACCGTCAGAGCGCACTTGTGGTTGAGGGGGTTGCATTGGAATCCTACAAAGTTTTTCAGTCGTAGCTGAGCCAATTTTAAAGCACTTATGGGCTCTGACGTACATTTTTTGAAAGTCAGTGGGGGTTGACTAAGATCCCACACAACCAGGAGAAGATGACCACTGCAGTATAAAATTGTGCAAAGACATTACACCCAAATTATACATACCGAGGATTTTGAGAGAAAGCAAGGGAAAAGGGCGGAACTCAAAAAAAGTTCAAATTCACGTTTTTACACGACTTGAGCTTGAGGGCGCAAGGGCGCAAGTCCCGCGGCGCGTCCACCCCGCTCAGAGAGGGAAGGCTTCGAGAATTGAGATGCTGGTGGTTGTAGGTCCTTGTGGGTGGAACGTAAATGCCGGTCGCGTTGCGTCACAGTCACGGTCGCGTGCCTCGACGCGTCTTCAAAGCTGCGACCATGTCCGAAATTGGATCAGAGATTACGCCCGGTCCTTCGTCTGTCCCATCTGCTCCAGGTCCTTCAACACCTCTCCGCGATTCGTATACGTACCACAGCCCAACACCCACCGCAGATGGCCCTTACATCCTGGGTGTCGACGAAGCCGGTCGTGGTCCAGTTCTAGGTCCTCTGGTCTATGGAGTCGCGTACTGTCCTG